ACGTACTCTGTCCTGTCGGTGTTCACTGAAACCACACTGGTCTTCTCGGCTCCACAGTTCTCTTCTCCTCGGCCCTGCGTGTGTGCGCAGCTGCCACAAACCACCCTGGACTGTGGTGTCTGTCTTTGTGCGCAAACGCCCGGCTTTGTTTGTTTACATGAGCCGAACAACTTTTCATGAATGGCTCCGGATTAAAGATGGCCGTCGTGGCGGATGCTCAGAGGAAGTGGTTGCCAAGGGAAAAGGTCATGCCAGGAAAAGTGGGAGGAGACAATCGGGGACAAGCAACGGTGCCAACCAATCAGGGTGCAGTGCGCCTGCTTCGTCCGGGAGTACTGGTCTGGAACAGGCCTGCCACCCAAGGGCGTCTGCCGGGAATGACAGTGACGAGCAGCGGGCTCCGGGAGCAGCTCCAGACAATCTGCCAGGTACTTTCTTCTGTCATAGCAAGAAAATATAAATAAATGAAAATACATAAAACAACCAGTGGGTAAATAAAATCACATACACACGGAGAACAATGAATCCTTCTCCTAGAAATGTAATTTCTCTTTATGATGAGAATAATATTATGTAGTTATATTATTGAAACAATTTTTAGAAATACAAAAATAAGATATAGTATTTAAAATATTTTAGAAACACAGATATAGGATAATTTACAACTATATCAATAAGAGCTATTTTGACCTAGAAAATAAAGTGCTCCAATTGTATACCGCAATTAATTAATCAATCATTATTATTAATATTATTATTAACTATTGACGCAACTTCATAATCATAATAAATATAATATGAAAACAATTAAGCCATACAAATTATCAGCAAAATAACATAATAAATTATATAAATGTGGAATACATTTACTAAAAATTAAGTTTCTAAAATTATAAAATAGTTTAATTCGATACAGAAATTTAAAATTTTGTAAATTAAAAAATACATTTAATAATAAGAAACTTTTGAAAAAGTGTTAAAAGTTGTGTTTGTGTTAAAAGTATCATCGGTAATTTGAAGTATTAATACGTTTTTTATTTCTCCTGCAAACGTCTGAGAATTATGTCAACTTTTTTTTTTTTATTATACAACGTTTCATGTCGTACACACATGTCCGTTCGCTACACAGCCGCGGTGGATGAGATCATTGTCTTATCCTGGAGATCTGTCCTGCACCACCTTCTGTTTCACACTGAGGAGATCTCAGAAAACATGCCTCTGGAGCATTTGATTGACAGCCGAGTTCTAGCCATTCAGAGAGCCCAGAGCAGCCGATTGGTCAAACCATGAGCACTGTTAAGACCTCCCACTGTTTTAGTTTTATTCTGTCACCTCCAGTTAGTCTACATAGTCCTGCAGTACGCCACTAGGCGACGCTGCTTGCTTGTATTTGATCTTTAGGCCAACGAACTTCTTCCATCCTGAGACAAAAAAAAAAAAAACAACAACAAGAAAACTTCAGGGTTACATCTACTTTAACACATAAAAATGTTTGGTGCAAATTTTACGGTAGATTTTTTTTTTATTTTATTTTATTTTAGAAAGGACTTCAGCTCCTAATGATGCTCCAGACATTTTAAACAGAGATGCAGCTGAGCCTATAGTTTGATGTAAATGTTTTTTAAAATTACCAGACATGTGTCCATATGGAAACATTAAAACATATGATTATGATAAAAAATCTAGGAAAATAATAATCATAATTAAATACTTTATTTTAATTTATTTATTTTTGTTACATTTGTACTGTAGTAGTAGGCGTTTGTAGAGTTGTGGCTCAGATATACTGCTGTCTCCAGTTATATTTCATTCTCATATGGTATGGTATTTGTACATGAAATGTACACGTGAAGTACCACTGCAACACTACATTAATACTAATGCGACTGAAATATGAGAATACCCACAGTATGTGTAGGGTAAAAGCAGCACACCACGTGGGAATTAATATCTCAGACTCAATTTCTATGAAAATACACAGGAGAGACCCTGGGGATGTGATTAGAAGGGAGTTCAGTGAGAAGGCTGTGAGGAGCCTGCACATGGGACCAATGTGGAGTGTACAGGCCTCGGAGAGGAAGCGTATTGATCACAGTTTCAGTGGGACAGGACACGGGTCCTGTGCAGGTCGCAAATTAATACACGGTTGTTTGGACCTGTCACATGTTCCCCCATGTGCTGTGGAAACTTCATGTTGGAGCTACGGTACGGTATAGAACGAAGTATGGTCCACAGGGAATGCTGGTTCTGAATAGATGAGGTTGTGTTTCAGCTTTTATCAGTACAGTAGGAGTGTGTGTGTGTGTGTGTTAACCTTCTGTGCAAATTCACATAGACATTGTCTTAATAAAAGAAAGAAAGACTCTCTATGATCTTTATTATAGTTACAATCAGAATTTAGTTTTAGGCCTCCTAGGCTTGTGACCGTAACAAATTTTGCTGGACGATAAACAAGATTCTTGTCAACATTATTTTAAGACCAACTGAAACACTGATGTAAAGATAATATATCATAGTAATCCAAGTACATCCTTTCAAATGCAATAAAACTTTATTTCTCACTAGTATCTTTTACAATTCTCAAATATCCGTTGGTGCCTGAATACCCCTAATATTTCCTATGGTACCTGAACAGCCCCAGAGAATCCACTGAGAATCTGTAATGTCAGATATTGATACACATTAAATATGTTCCGAGGAAATGTTGCTGTATTTGGACAAGTTTCCATATCAAACCTGATATTTCAGTCAAATACTTAAATACGTGCCGATCCAGTGACCAGAAACTGCTGAGTGTCCTCACTGTGGTTCGAGTTTCATCTGAGAAACCCACCCACCCACACACACACACACACACACACACACACGCTGCCTGTCATGCCATTTCCACAGAGCTGTTGTTATAACACTGCCGCCCAGTACGTGGCGCATTCATTGAAACCCAACTTAAAGAAGTATCAGTGACAGTACTTGGTACTTGGTACTTGGTACACAAATGTAAACACAGGCCTAGTTATATCTTATATTTAAAAATACAGAATCCAAACAACGACGTAGACAGAAGTCAACTGCTTCACTGTCTGCTGTTGACTTCTGACACTTAACCATCGGCTGTTTTGGGGGTTTTAACATAAGTCGCCATGGTAACGGAGATCCTAAAAGGGCCCCTCGCTGTAGGTGCTAGAATGGCTGTGATTCTCTCCTCGGGGTCCTGTGTAGATTTACGGCTCTGCTACAGTGAGGATCATTCTAGAATCTTTCAACCAAACTTTGTTTTAAACACATCATGTATTGATGATCCACAAATCAGGACTCACACACATTAGAGGGCAAGCCACTCAAATTAGAATTTATATCAAAGCCTCCATTTTTTTTTACGCCCACAAATAACTCAGCAAAGAGATCTGAGAACGGTGCAAACATTTTAATGACGACGTGGATTTCGGGAGATTGAGTTCAAGAGATTGTTTCCACCTGAAATGACTGAGAAATAGGCAATAATGACGTGATTTGAAGCCTTTTCAGTGCCTGAAGCCAAACTGACTGAACCCGGGATTGTCCGGAGCACTAAAAATGAAATACAGATGTTGATGAAATGACATGCTCCGGAGTGCATGGTGAAAAGATATATGACGTTGTACCGTCATCCCTTAAATCTCCCTTGTTCCCTCCTAGACAGCCACATTCCTGGGGCCCAGTGTGAGTGTAGCTCTCACACACATGGGCCTTAAGAGCCACCCTGTCGGAGCAGAAATGAGTCCAGATGGCCGGACCCTGCTGTGAGGGGCTGTGGTTGGACTGAGTGCAGGTCTGTGCAGCTCAGGCTGGGCCTGACTGGACCCTTTTCACGTGGAGGGCCCCCAGCATTCCCTCTGCACCACCCCGTGGCTCTCAGGTTACAGCCAGGACCAGGGCCTTCACATCTGCCCTGTTATTCTTAGCCAGTGTTAATCTGGTTGTAGAAGCAGCAGTGCAGTTAAACAGTATATTGATGGCTGAGCCGTTAACATGGGCTCATTACTGACTGACTGATTGATTAGCCTCATATCCACAAAGCACCTTCCTATAGAAGCCACTTCCTTTGCTGATGCACATGTACAGTTAAGGGCAAAATGATTGGCCGCTACAAGGAAATTAGAAACTTTTTATTATTATTATTTTATTATTATTGTGAAGTATTTGACGGGTGCTTTATGAGAGAGTAGTTCAATGAAAAATTCCTGAACATTTTTGTACAATTGCACAACTTTTACATTTTGCATTTGCATAGTTTACCAAAACTTTAGCAAGTGAAAAGTAAAAAAATGATTAACCGTATTAAAAATGATTAACCTTACAAAACAGTCATTTATGAATCTTTTTATTTAAAAAACGTACAGTGGTTTGTGAGAAAACTAAATAAATTATTTTAATCAAAAATGAATTAAAATAAAAAATGTAATTAAATTAGATTCAGTTGAAAAAAATTCAATCTGTAATATGTTCGGTTTTATTAAATTGACTAAACTTTGGAAACATTGTTTTATTTTATTCTCTATTTTTACTATATATGTTTTATTATTATTATTATTATTATTACTACAGTACTATGTAATTTGTCAATATACACATAGACATACGTACTATTTAATTTGTCAATATACACATAGACATACATTTACATTGTTGCCACGAAGCTCTGACAAATTATAACTCACATCTTTGCCAGATTTGCTCACACATCAGCTCCAGGCTATTATTCCACTCGAGGACACTCGTTACCAATGATTGGACCACAGTTTAAATGTCCCGCCTTCCAGCCATTAAACATAGCTGTGATTGGATCTCAACTGTTCCTCCAGTTTATGTCACAAAATCGGCACTGAGTTTTGGTCTTGTTTTTATTAGATGACTTACACATTAATGAAATTCAGCCTCTCATGGCTTCATTCTTTTGTTTATGTTTTTTGCTTTAAAAAAAAAAGGATGCTGAATTTTCTTTGTACGTCATCTTTTTACCCACAGTTCTTGGAAAAGTTTTAGTCAATTCTTTACGACACACAGTGGATATTTGAGTTGCAAGGCGTTCAGTCTGACAACGGCAGTTCATCTCCTCAGTGTCGCCCTCAGCTGGCCCACAGATCAGAATCAGATTCAGTTATTAAATCAGCTGTGGTTGGGTG